GTGGTTAAACGACTCTCGAGTGAGGAAATGGAAGAGAGTACTATAGCAAAGTAGGAGAGAAGAGAGGAGATTCACAAGCAAGAGTAAAAAAAGTGCAACCAAACATCCAAATGTCAAGATGTGATTTCAATCTTCACTAACATGCTTTCATACCGACATGCATCACAACAAACACACTCAATTCAAAGTGCATACCCACTTTCCAAAGTCAATCACCCGTGCCAAAATCCTCACTCCATCCCCTTATACGCGATGTGACAAAGGTGCAATATTTACAACATTTGTACATCACTTGCATCCTTTGAAAGTCCATGCATCACATCTTTTCTTTTTCTTTTTTTTCCACGTTCCTCAAGGCACAATCTAGGAACCGTCCTTCTTGTCACCCAGTCAAACAGGGGTGGAGAATTTGCTTCTACACGTAAGACTTTGAAAGGACTCTATCTTAGTCCGATTCAGGCTCAAAGAAAAGAAAAGAAAGAGTGAGTGCCATACGCAATCGCTGCCCCTCAAACCAGCAAAAAAAAGGAAAAAGGTGCTGCAAATTTAAACCACCAGTCCCTCGCCCAGCTATCAAGTCCGATGCTCGGACTACTAGTATCCCGATCATTGTCGAGCCTCGGACAACCAGTAATACATCATGGAAAAAGAAAAAGAAAAAAAAAAGAAAAAACTACGAACTGCAAAAAAAAAGAAAGAGGAAATTAGACATGCCCAATGAGAATGAATCTTCCTCGATAAAGAGGAAGATTCATTATTGTGGGACGTTCAGAGAGAGAGAGAGAGAGAGAGAGAGAGAGAGAGAGAGAGAGAGAGAGAGAGAGAGAGAGAGAGAGAGAGAGAGAGAGAGAGTTTGGTACACCAAACTCGGCGCCAGACACTGCAACGGCCCCACTCTCGAAATGTGCAAAATGAGAATGAACTGACCATGAGAACATGGGCAGATGCGCCCACAACATTTTTCTCGTCTTTACATTTCAAGAGTGTTGTGGTGACGCCCTCTCTCTCTCTTTTCTCTCTCTCTCTCTCTCTCTCTCTCTCTCTCTCTCTCTCTCTCTCTCTCTCTCTCTCTCTCTCTCTCTCTCTCTACGTCCCACCGAGAATGAATGAATCTTCCTGTTTGGGCCTCGTTAGACCCTCCTTGAAAAATCCTCAGGAATTAGGATGAGGTCCTTGGAAAAATTTTCGGTTTTTAGCGTCGTCGTTACACCGCGTCCTAATTCAATGGGTCCCAAGGAAAACCCTTGGAGGTCTCCCGCTGTCAATTTCATACGCACATACGCCGCCGCGGGGCTGGATGTCCGTCTGTGCGGTGGGATGTCCGTGCGTTCTCGGGCATGGTCCGGGGCGGTGTCAGGGAGGCCTTCTGGGCTGGGGGGAAAAAAAGGCGCGAACATGCCTGTTCGAATTTCGAATTTCGAACCCTTCGCTGAAATGCATCCACGCCCGCGGTGTCTAGACCGGTGCAGCGCACATCGGAGCGAAACGTCTGCGGAGGAATGTTGGTGGCCATCGCTTAATATGCCGGCATTGGAAGGCGGGCCAACGCAGAACGGTGACGACCTCGAAGTGCGACAACAGTCAGGAGTTAGACATTCGTATTCGGGCCGTTCACGACACTCGTGTGGGCCGCCATAGCACATGCACGCACGTCAGGCCTCCGTGAGATGTGGGTAGTGTTGTTGTCGTTCCCGTCCACCTGGAGACATCGGAGCGAGGGTGCCGAAGACCGAAACAATTGTGGGCAGTTGAGGGAGAGCTGCGGGGCGGTGCGAATACGTTGACGACTTTGGAGAGAAATGTGGTGGCTGCAGCTGTGTCAACAGTCGCCATGCGATATCGCATACAGAGAATGACAACTCGCCTGAAGATGAGGTTGTCCATTCGTAGGCAGCGTCAACTCATGCAACAAGTGATGGAGGCGCCCGACTGTGTGTCGTTATCCAATTCCATTGTGCAATTTTGTTGCGCCATGGCGTTGGGTGTGATCCCGCGGGCTACTCCAAGGTGGTGGATGAGGAAAAGGATGTGAGGGACATAGGAGGATCTCCGGAAGATGGACGACGTGGCGAGCGGGTACTATAAGCTGTGTATCTTTTGAACGGAGAACAGGCGGAATTCAACGTCCGAACTTCCGTTTAACGGGCCCCTAGACCCCCGTTGAATCCCGTTCAAAGGGAAAACGGGGGTGTCCCGTTGGTTTTCGAGAAACGGAATTGGCGCGTCAGGCCTCAGACACGTGGCCCTACGTGCCCAAACACTAAAAACGGAAAAAAAAAAAAAAATTGACCCCTATTAACAGGGTGGGGTGGCCAAACATGCCCCTCCCTTTCGAACACTGTAAGC